GTAATTTTTAAAAAATTTCATTTTTTATAATTTTGAGTTCCAAATTCTCTCCCACCCTGTCTTTCCTCTCCCATCATTGGGAAGGCAAGCAATTTGACAATGGCTATACATATGCAGTTATGCAGAACATATTTCCATTTTAATCATTGTTGTAAAAGAAACACAGAAAGAGAACTCCATGAAAAATAAAGAAAGTAAAATAATAGCATGTTTTGCTATGCATTCAGATTCCATCTGTTCTCTCTCTGGAGGTAGATAGCTTTTATTTTTTATCATCGATACTTCAGAATTATCTTAGATCTTTATATTGCTGGGAATAGGTAAGTCATTCACAGTTGCTCATCATACAATATTACTGTTACTGTATATAGCATTTTTCTGTTTCTGCTCACTTCATTTTGCATCAGTTTATTTAAGTCTTTCCAAGTTTTTCTGAAAGAATCTTGCTTATTATTTCTTGCAGCACAATAGTATTTGCTAACTATCATATACCACAACTTATTCAGCCATTCCCCATTTCCAGTTCTTTGCCACCATAAAAAGACCTGCTATAAATATTTTTGTATAAACAGGTCCTTTTTCTTTTTCCTTTGATTTCTTTTAGACACAGATCTATTAGTGGCATTGCTGGATCAAAGTGTATGCACAGTTTTAAAGCCCTTTGGGTATAGTTCCAAATTGCTCTCCAGAATGGTAGGATCAGCTCACAATTCCACCAACAGTGCATCAGTGCCCCAAATTTCTCACATTCCCTCCAACATCTATCATTTTCCTTTTCTGTCATATTAACCAATCTGCTAGGTGCGAGGTGGTTCCTCAGAGTTGTTTTAATTTGCATTTCTCTGATCAATAGTGATTTAGAGCACTTCTTCATATGACTATAGATAGCTTTGCTTTCTTCATATGAAAACTACCTGTTCATATCCTTTGACCATTTATGAGTTGGAGATTCTTATAAATTTGACTCAGTTCTCTATATAGTTAAGAAACTTTATCAGAAAATCTTGCTATAAGTTTTTTTGTCTTTATTCTAATAAAGATGCACTGGCTTTTTTGTACAAAAATTTTTTAAATGTAATATAATTAAATTTATCCATTACGAATTCTTCCCTTCACCGCAGATATGACAGGTAAACTATTCCATGCTCCCCTGATTTGCTTATGGTTTCACCCTTCACGTCTAAATAATATATCCCTTTTGGCCTTATCTTGCTATATAGTGTCATGTGTTGATCTATACCTAGTTTCTGCCAAACTGCCTTTTCAGTTTTCCCAGTAGTTTTTTGTTGAATAATGATTTCTTGTTTCAAAAGTCTGGATCTTGCTGTTTAACAAACACAAGATTACTTTGGTCACTGACTACTGTGTACTGTGTACTTAATTTATTCCATTGATCCACCACTCTATTTCTTAGCCAGTACCAGATTCTTTTGATGATTACTACTTTGTAATTTAGTTTAAGATCTGGTATGGCTAGGCCACCTTCCTTCACATTTTTTTAAAACATTAATTCTCTTGATATTCTTCACCTTTTGTTCTTCCAGAAGAATTTTGTCACTTTTTCTAGTTCTAAAAATATTTTTGGTAGTTTGATTGGTATGATACTGAATAAGTAAATTAGTTTAGGTAGAATTGTCATTTTATTATATTGATCCATCCTATCCATGAGCAATTAGTATTTTTCCAATTGTTTAAATCTGACTTACTTCATGTGAAATGTGTTTTGTAATTGTGTTCATATAGTTCTTAGGTTTGTCTTGGCAAGTAGACTCCTAAGTATTTTATATTATCCACAATCATTTTAAATGGAATTTCTCTTTCTATTTTTTGCTGCTGAACTTTGTTGTTAATATATGGAAATACTGATGATTTATGTGCATTTATTTTATATCCTGCAACTTCGTTAAAGTTGTTAATTATTTCAACTAGTATTTATTAGTTGATTCTCTGGGATTCTCCAAGTATATCATCATATCATCTGCAAAGAATGATAGTTGTATTTCCCCATTGCCTCTTCTAATTCCTTCAATTTCTTTTTCTTTGCTTATTGCTACAGATAGCATTTCTAACATATTATTGAATGATATCATACTCAATGTGGGCATCCTTGTTTCATTCCTGATCTCATTGGGTAGGCTTCTAACTTATTCTCATTACAGATAATACTTGCTGTTGGTTTTAGAGAAATACTACTTATCATTTTAAGGAAAGCTCTATTTATTCCTATGCTTTCCAGAGTTTTTAATAGGAATGAGTTTTGTATTTTGTCAAAATCATTTTCTGCATCTATTGAGATAATCACATGATTTTTATTTATTCTGTTATTTATACATTCAGTTTTACTGATGTTTTCCCTAATATCGAACAAGCCTTGCATTCCTGGTATAAATCCAATGTGCTCATAGTATATGAAAATCTTTATGATATATTGCCGTCATCTCCTTGCTACTATTTTATTTAAAAATTTTTCATCAATATTCACTAGAGAAATTGATCTTTAGTTTTCTTTCTCTGTTTTCACTCTTCATGATTTATGTATCCGTGCCATATTTGTGTCACAAAAGGAATTTGGTAGAAGTCCTTTTTTCCCCTTTTTCCCCAAATAGTTTATACAGCATTGGAATTAATTATTATTTGGTAGAATTCACTTGCAAAATCCATCTGATCCTGTAAAAAATTTTTTAAAAGGAACTCATTGATGGTTTGTTCAATTTCTTTTTCTAAAATAGGATTATTTAAGTATTCTACTTCCTCTTCTGTTAATCTGGGGAATTTATATTTTTGTAAATATTCATCTATTTAATTTAGATTGTCTTATTTATTGGCATATAATTGAGCAATATAGCTCCTAATACATGCTTTAATTTTCTCTTCATTGATGGAGAATTCAGCTTTTTCATTTTTGATATTGGCAATTTGGTTTTCTTCTTTCCTTTTTTAAATCAAATGAACCAATGGTTGATCTATTTTATTGCTTTCTCTCCTGTAAAACCAGCTCCTAAATTTATTCATTGAATGGTTTTCTTAACTTCAATTTTATTCATCTCTCCTTTGATTTTCATGATGTCCACTTTAGTGTTTAATTGTGGATTTTAATTTGTTTTCTTTCCATTTTTTGTTTCATGTCCACTTCATCAGTTTATTCTTTCTCTATTTTGTTGATGTAAAGAGATACAGAGAATTGATGTAAAGAGATATAGAGATACAAAATTTCCCCTAAATACTGCTTTGGCTGTATCCCTTAAATTTTGGTATATTGTCTAATTGTCATTTTCTTTAATGAAATTATTTATGGTTTCTGTGATTTTTTATTTGACTCACTCATGCTTTAGAATTAGATTATTTAGTTTCCAATTAATTTTCAATCTATGTTTCCATGTACCTTTATTGAATATGATTTTTATTGCATTATGATTTAAAGAGGATGCATTTATTATTTCTTCTTTTTGCATTTGGTTGTGAGGTTTTATGCCTTAATACATGGTCAGATTTTGTGTAGGTGCCATGTACTGTTGAGAAAAAGGGCTATCATGTCTAGCTAGTAACATCCTATTCAACTCCTTAACTTCTCACTTGCTTATTTCTTAGTTAGATTTATCTAATTCTTAGAGGGGAAAGTTGAGGTCTCTCACTAGTATAGTTTTATTGTCTATTTCTTCCTGTAACTCATTTAACTTTTCCTTTAAGAATTTGGATGCTATACACATTTGGTACACATATGCTTAGTAATGATATGACTTCATTGTCTATGGTACCTTTGAACGAGATGTAATTTCCTTGCTTATCTATTTTTGCTTTTGCTTTGTCTAAGATCATGATTGTTACCTCTGCTTTTTTTGTTTTACTTCAGCTGAAACATGACAGATTCTGCTCCAGCCTCTTACCTTTACTCTGCATGTGACTCTTTGCTTCCATGTGTTTTGTGTAAATAACATATTGTAGAATTCTGGTTGTTAATGCACTCTGCTATCTGCTTCTTTTTTATAGATGCTTGCTCAATTTCCAGCCCATTTCTTGATTCTTAATTCTGTGTTAAAGTTAGTTTCTGCTCTTATGGTGGAGGTGAAACTGTCCAAAACATCACTGATCTCTTGGCCTGTACATGGGTCTGAGAGTAACTACAATTACTGTTTTCTGCCTTGGAACTCTGACAAGTGTCCTGGTTCCCTGTGGCTGAGATCTCTAATGTGCAAATGCTCCTCCTTGCCCTAGGACTGTGACCTGGAACTAAGTATGGGCAATGCAGCAGGGTTCTGTATCCTGTTCCAACAAAGTGTCCCTTGTAATCTCCTTCTGACCCTCTTATCATCTTTGGGCTGAGAAGCTCCAGAAGACACCGCCAAAAATTCAGTTGCCCCCAAGGCCTGCTACTGGCTAGTGCTGGGTGTGGCCTGCTACTTAATGCCTTGTGCAAGGGCTTGGACCCTCACTGCTCCCTTGTCAAATGTGGCACGCATTGGACTACATTCTCCTCTTGCCCTTGAGACAGAACTATCCTGACAAACTTTTAAGATGTCTTGGGCTAGAATATTGTGCTACCTTGTGCTTTTGTTAATTTTGCTGCTCCAGAATTTATTTTCAGGCATTATTTTAAAATTATTTGGAGGGGAATTTGGGAGAGGTTGGTTGAGTCCTTGCCTTTCCTCCACCAACTTTTCTCTGCCTTTCCAAAGGGGACCAATTCATCTTGTGTATAGCTTGTTCGTACAAAGTTAATAATTATTTTAAAAGCAACTAGTATGTACCAGGCATTGTACTAAGCCCTGGTAATATGAAGAAAGGAAAGAAAGCAGTCCTTGCCTTTGAAGAGCTCAAAGTCTAATGAGGGAGACCACATGAAAACTGCTTTGTATGAACATGTATATACAAGAAGGAAACTGACTGTCTGACCTCCAGGCCCTGCATAGGTATCTCAATTCCTCCCTTTCTATACCTGGGGCTCTCAGAGGTTCCTCACTTCGAAGTTGGGAGTGTAACAGGGGATTCTGCTTCCTTTATAGACACAGAGAAACTCCGACTCAGGCAAGGACAGACCCCATGCTCTGGACGAGTGGAGATCTGGCACAATGGCTCTTGGGGGACAGTATGTGATGACTTATGGGACCTAGCAGATGCCAATGTGGTTTGTCAGCAGTTGGGCTGTGGCTCTGCTGTGGCTCCCCTGGGAGGGGCTGCATTTGGCCCAGGAAATGGGACCATTTGGCTGGATGATGTACAGTGCAGAGGGAGGGAGTCCTCTCTGTGGGATTGCCCTGCAAGGCCTTGGGGGCAGAACGACTGTAAGCATGAGGAGGATGCTGCTGTGATATGCTCAGGTGAGTGTGAAGGACATAAGATGGGGCTGGGAGCTCTGAGAACAGATATTGAGATGGAGGACATGGAACTAGAGTTTATATATAAATGGAGCTTCCACAGATCTGACCTCTGGTACCAGGGGAAGCTGTAATCTAATTCTGGGGTCATAGAATTTAGAACTGCATGTAAAATTGATAGTCTTCATCTAAATGTCTTTACTTTAGAGAGGAGGAAATAGAAGTCCAGTGAGATTATCTGGCTGTCACAAGGTCACACAGATCAACAAGTATAACAAGATTAACTAACAGGATTATCAATTATAATTTCCTGGGAAATTTTTGAACACAGGTCCTATGACTCCCAGAACTACAATATCTCTTCTGTTCCCCAGAGCTCTCTCCAGGCTTGTACTGGGGAGAGAGTACATAGGGGATTTGGAACATTTTTGATCTGCTTTAATAGAGTATTTGGGACAGATAGGCTCTGCCTTTTCTGGAGCTCTCCATGCACTACAAATTCCTGGCCAAACTGGTATCTGGTGATTTCTCTGTCTCAATCTCCTGATCCAAGCTGAAAGAAAGTATCTCATTCTCACTGTTTTCTTAGATTTTCACTATCAGAATTTGGTCTTGTACATTTTTATATCTGCTTGAAGGAGTTTCTTGAGGGGAACTCTGTGTGCTAATTCCTGTTATTCTGTCATCTTGACTCTACTTCTACCTCTTCAGGTGTATAGTTTTATACTAAGGCATAAAGGTAGACAAAGGGAGATAGAGTCTCCATTCTGAAGCAAACAAACCTCACAAATGAGAGTATACCAATTGTGAGGAGCAGTGATAAGGCTAACTGCAGAAGTTGGGAGGGATCGTCTGTAGTTAGTGCTTCATTCACTGATATTGAATATTTCCACTAGTTAGTTATATCTCCATGTTGCTAATACTCTTCCTCTGGGTAAAGGAGCCTAATACAACTAACTTGCATCAATAACATTCACTTAGTGTAGCCCAGAAAGATTTATCTTGGAGCTCCTCCTCTAATTATATTATTTTCTGATTATTAAAAATATAGAAGTTTTTCTGATGTCCTCTAAAGATGTTTTCCTGGCAACCAAGAACTTCTACTCTGTCCTAACCATAGTCCATAGCCACATCCAGAAAGCTTATGTTTATCATCATATGCACAAACATCTCTGTAGCAAATGTAAAAGATGCTGCAGTCAAGTGTCAAAGTATTGGGGGCTTGTTTCAGACTCATAGATTGAGGAGAATGGTTTGTACAAAATAGGAATATCAAATCATAACTCTCTTTGTCTCTGTCTCTCTGTCTGTCTCTCTCTGGATCTGTCTCTCTGTCTCACTCTGCGTGTGTGTGTGTGTGTGTGTGTGTGTGTATCTGCCAGAATAATACTGACCGGCCCCACAATTCATAGATCTATATATGTGCTTTGAACTTCCTTGTACTAGCAGTTATATTTTAAACAAACTAGTTATTTTCTTTTCTTCCTCCTTGATTTCCTACTGTGGTGGTGGACCTTAATGTCTTATCATAGTGCTAAAGGAGCATACGTGTTAAATGTTCTTATGCTTTAGCCCCTGAGTCCTAGTTCTCAAACAATCCAGAAGTAGCAGAAAGTTAACCTTTGAAAATATGGAAACTGTACTTGAAATGTGGAATACAGAATTATAGAAACAACCTTGGATATCTCATAAGCCCTTTATAAAGACCTCAAGGCAACTAAAATATAGGCTATTCCAAGCTTCCCTTATCTGAAAAAAAGGAAGAAAAAAGATGAACAAAGCCCAAGAAAATTAAAAAGAAGAGAAAATCTATTTAGAATAACCAGGTCCTTGGGGCAGAGGAGATGGTTACTTCTCTAATGGTGAGATATCATATGAGTCTAATTCTCCTCCCTCAGTGAGAGGCATCCATCCCCTCTGTTGTTTCCATATTCCTCTCCCCTGCCTAAAGCAGTAGAAGGATTGCATTTCCCTACATATGTCAGACGTGCTTTCCCAAAAAGTATGAGGAATTAAGCACCTTCAGTTTTATTTGAGGTTCCATCATAGTCAACATGCTTTCAAGGTATTAATTATCATGTGCTCAGTTAAGTAAAGTTCCTATGCTTCTTCTCTGTTGGGAACATACAAGACAGAGTCTCACATAATTAAAGTATCTCTTTCTGCATCAGGGAAATCTTGGTTTTCAGAGCCACTCACTGGAGGTCTTTTTTGTCTTTCCAGGATTTGTCCAGCTGGTTGCGGGGAATGGGCCCTGTATTGGGAGGGTTGAAGTCAATTCTGGAACAAAACAGGGCACGGTCTGTGATTGGAATTTTACTTTTTCTACTGCCAAAGTAATTTGTGCTGAGTTACAGTGTGGGACTGCAGTCTCCATCATGAAAAGTGCTCACTTTGGAAGAGGAAATGGATACATCTGGGATAAAGAATTCCAATGTAATGGAAGTGAACCGCTTCTGTCATTATGCCCCACAGTACCACTTCCACAGGGGAAATGCAATCACGGCATGGATGTTGGAGTCATTTGTTCAAGTAAAACTTTCACGATGCTTTTATGCTGCTCCCACGTTGTACTTGATACTGAAATTAGAAGGTCACAATCACTTTTCTAAAGCCCAGTCTCCTTCTCCCCAGGGTACACAGACTTTCGTCTGATGAATGGAAGCTCCCAATGTGAAGGAAGAGTGGAGATCCAAGTTTTTGGGGCCTGGAGAACTCTCTGTGACTCCCACTGGGACCTGGCAGATGCCAACGTTCTCTGCCATCAGCTCAACTGTGGTGTTGCCATGAAGCCTCCAGAAGATATACACTTTGGCAAAGGAAGTATCCCGATCATAAGGGATACATTTTATTGCACAGGCACTGAGTCTCATTTATGGAATTGTTCTGTGACTATCTTGGGGACTTCTCCATGTTCCAAAGGAAAAGTTGCCTCTGTGGTCTGCTCAGGTTAGTGAAGGGAAATCTCTAATCTGGACTCAGAGCATATCTCTAGATGGTGGGCCAGTGAAAGCAATGATACACGCAGGAAAGAAAAGGATAGAAGTGTCTACACCCATCAACAGTTATATAACCTTTTTCAGTATCCAATGGAGAGCCATGACATGTGTACATATTTATTTTATATATGCCATCATTCATTCATGACTTTTCATTGGAAATTCCCAGGTAGGGAAGATGCATTATGATCCATCAACTACTTTAGGGGAAAGTGTAGACATATGCCAGTGTGTAGTACTAATAGTGAACAGAGATGTACTGTCTCTGGACATTGGTAGAAAGGACCATGAATGAACAAACTTAAAGAGGAAGGACTAGGAACTGTCTAATGAATGCTTCTAATGAAATATGAAGGGTGTTTCCCCAGAGCATGATTCTGCAAGGACAGAATAGATTAGAGAAGATCATAGACACTGAGATACTATTTGATGTTGGGTGCACCGCATTACAGACACCTTAGAATACAATTCCAGCACTTTACTTTGTTCCTTGAAAATTGCAATGCTGGTCTTATAGGACCGTTTGCAAAAATCTCCTCACTAGTGGAAATTGGGGAAAGCTGGAGAAAAGACAGCTCCTGGTCAGGAAGAAAGAGAGATCCTTAGCCAGAAGACCAGCATCTGTCTTCTCTCCAGCTCTCACTAACTTCATCTCATGAAATCAATTTCCACTAATGAAGAGATTCTTATGTAAATAGACCCTTGAGCCAAAGATTGCACAATTTTATCTTCTCTGTATATTTGTTAGAGGGAGTAAAAGGTGAATTTGGTAAAACCTTCTCCTCAGACATACAAATAGGTCAAGGTCCAGAGCAAAATGTCAGGTCAGCAGTGACAGGAGCAGGATTCTGTAAGGAAAAGAGAGTATCTGTTGAATCCGTGCAGGTCAACCAGAGACAAAGGAGAAAACTTGAGGGAATAGACAGTGAGGTGATGAAATGACTGAGGAAACAAAGGTTCAAGTTCTCAAGCTTATCAGTTTATTAAGCAATACATGCAATTACTTAACAGATCAGGGTCAATGGCCTTTCTCAGCTTTAGCACTAAGAATACAGGGGAGACAGCTTTTTATGCATTAAAAACAGTTAAAGAAGAACAATTAATTAGAAGAAAACAATTAACAAGGATACAAAATTAGGTTGTCTGATTTCCAATTGGAGGAAAGATTAGGGGCTTTCCGAGCTGGGAAGGGGAAAACAAATAGGAGCAATTCCCTGAAATCAGAAAAAGAGGTGCTCCCCAGCACCCAAATTTTCTGTATTCAATCAAGAACATGGGAACAATAACTGATTGAATAGTACTGGGCCAGTTTTCAGATAAAACATGTGGATTGCTTGTGAGAAAATTCATTGCATCAGTTTTTGGATCTGACTGGGTTTCTAGTCAGCACAACCTAGGTCCTTAGTTAAGCATCAGGTAGAGGTGGTCCAGTTCCCAGCCGTAGAGGATTAGGTTCAAAAGATGCAATAATGTTTTCTCCCAATTCTCACAACTGAATAAAGTTTTCTCACAAGATAGAAATTGCACTAGACCCATAAGTGAATAGAAAGAGAACTGAGCTAGCTCCAGAACTGAATCACAAGATGGAGTCAGTGTGGTTCACTCAATTCCCACTACCACTTGCTATTCTAATCCCCTCAGTAGGAAAGTCCTGCCGAGCAGGTGAGAAGTATAGAAACAGGTTAGAATTAGAGGATGCCCCTTTTGCTTGTGCTACACTAGCATCATCTTGGGAAGTCCTTTCTAGTGATGTGTAAAAGTGAAGAATTTTCGCTTTTGCGTTTTCTTTTTCCTTGGTTAGTGAGGAAGCTCAATCTACTAGCATTAAATAGGTGACTATTATTTGAAAACCTCAACCTTTTCTCTATTGAGCTAAGGGAAGAAGAATTCATATCTAGCTATGCAGGGAGAAATGTCTGTCCCTCTAGAGCAAGGATTCCTGGCTAGAGATATCTATTCTTCCTCTCTTTGAGCCACACAATGACATCCCTACATGTGAGAGGGACAGCTCTTTCTACACATGAGGTCTCACCATGCACAGGCCTCTCAACACATAGGCCCCTGGTACAGGTGAGGCCCTTGTCACACAATTAAGAGACCAATTATATTGAAACATACTTATCAATATATTTTCTTATTTTTAAAAGAACAATATTTTATTTTTCCTAATTATGTGTAAAGATAATTTTAAACACTTATTTTAAATTTTTTAGTTTAAAATTTTCTCCCTCCTTAAATTTCCCCCTCCTTAAGCAATTTCTATCAATAGATTATAACCATGTGCATGGACTCCTATTAAAAAACTCTTTCTTTAGATATTAGACATAGACTGGTGGCAGACATATGGTAGTGAGAAGCTACCCTATAGAGTTCATAGGTGCTAGACCTAGCAGAGGGGGAGCAAAGCCTGAGGAAGAATGATCAGCTAGAAGTGCTGCAACCTTTCTCTCAGAAGCTCTTCCTGATAGAAGGTCACATTCTTTTTAGGGCACTTTGTATCTGGAGGGTATGGCTGGAGCTGTGGAAGTGGAACAACAGAACTGTCAATGAGAGCAATTCTGTTTGACCAAGTAGAGCCAAAACATGCCTTCTTAGACTGGAAAATCCCTTTGTCTCTCCTTCACAACCTGTCTCTCTCCAATTTGCGGACCCTCTCTTTCTCTCATCCAGTGCCTTTCCTCAAAGTACATATTTACCTTACTTATCCCCTCCTGGCTCAAAACTTCCAGCCCTGGATCTGAGCTGTGTGCTTTTTGCAGGAAACCAGACACAGTCCCTCACATTCAATAATTCACAGTCTGACCAGGAAAAGGTACCTGTCCTATTTTCAGGTAAGAAAGAAAGTTGGACAATATGAGGAAACCTTTCTCATTCCAGGCTAAAATGGGCAATTAATCTGAATTTCTCCCTGTAGAAAATGGACAGCTTCGACTGTTGAATGGAAGAGGTCCCTGCTCTGGAAGAGTTGAAGTCTACTACAATGGTACCTGGGGGACTATCTGTGATGATTCTTGGGACCTGAGTGATGCCCAAGTGGTGTGCAGGCAGCTGGGCTGTGGAGTGGCCCTCAAAGCCATGGACTCTGCTCACTTCGGACAAGCATCAGGGCCTATCTGGCTAGATGAGCTTAGCTGCTCTGGAAATGAATCCCACCTAGGAGAGTGCCCTTCCCTCCATTGGGGTCGGCATGACTGCAGGCACAAAGAGGATGCAGGAGTCCTCTGCTCAGGTCTGGGCCACACACATCCCACTAACAGTGAGGGACTTATGTGAGCACTTAGGAGGTGGGGCTTAGGGACCTGAGGGAGAAGGAGCTGATTCAGACAGGGAGGTGGAGGACTTCCTGCCCTAAGCAGAGCCCTTCCTAGAGTGCAATTTCAGAGCAAGGCCTCTTACCTGAAGGATGATTTTATTTATCTCCTACATTTGTATAGGTGGGTCTGCACACTTATGAAGATATGTGTGTGTGTGTGTGTGTGTGTGTGTGTGTGTGTGTGTACATGTTTTCTTTATACTTCATTTCCTAGTAGAGTGCTATTCATGTAACAGGTATATAATATATATCTGCTGATTTGCTTTACTATTGGTGGTTCACAGATACACAACTATGAAACTGAGTAGTGAAATCACAGTAAAGGCATTCCTGTCTTTTTCATTGGGGGAGACAAGATAGAAAAAAATGCTCAGAAATATAGAGGAAGGAATTCTGGAGAAAGAAGGTCTGGGGTCTGTGCTATCCAGTGGTGACCCACAGCAGAGCCAGAGAACCTAGTACAATTTCAAGAGGGCAGAAATCCAGAGAATATGGGAACAAATGTCCCTTCTGATTGTGCCATACCTTCTTTTCCATTTACAGAATTCCTGGATCTTAGGCTGGTGAGTGAGGACCATAAGTGCTCTGGGTGGCTAGAGGTTTTCTACAATGGAACATGGGGTAGTGTTTGTTCCAACCCCATGGACTACGATACTGTATCAGTGATTTGCAGACACCTGAGTTGTGGTGCTAAGGGGCATATTGAAACATTGTCTAGCCCCCAAAAAAGTTTGCAGCCCCGGTGGATAGACAAAATCAACTGCCAAGGTCAAGAATCCTTCCTCTGGCATTGTCCATCTCAATCTTGGCACCAGAATTCTTGCCACCGGGAGACGAAGCCTTTATCACATGTGAAGGTAACTACATCTGTCTCTTACGTTTGACTCCTTTTTAATGGAGTTTTTAATCCAAGTGAATTCAATCTATGGACAATATCTAGACCCAAATTTATTTTAATTCATACAAATAAACAATGAAAGAGATCTTGGTTAGTAGGAGTTACGTGACGAAGACCTCAGATTTTTTATTTTACTTAACTAAAACCTTGATGTGAACAAGTTGTGAGTCAGTCTTTCTCTCCTCCTCAATTCCTGTACACATAGCAGGAGATTAAATATTCCTGTAAACACTGTAGCCTCCCAGTTCTTAACATTTCCAAAGACCTTCACCCAACTTAGAGACACAAAAAGATGATCATACTCTTGATCTTGCTATCACCTACAGGTGTTCCACTTACGTGTTTGAGAACTCTGAAATTCCTTTATCTAATCATAACTGATGGTCATTACACCTCTTCCTCTGCCTTGCAACCCCTAACTCTATTTTTCATTTCCACCATGACCTCCACTTCTCAGTTGTTTCCAAGGTCATCATTCCTACACTGACTAAACTCTCTCTTTTCCCCATCTTGATTCCTTGGTGAATCGGTTCATTTCTATTCTATCCTCTTCTATTGAGTCTCTTGCCTCCTCCCTCTTATGCTATCTCCAAACTTCCCTTCCAAGACTCAATCCTAGTTTATTCTCACCATCCACTGCCTTTGCTCCTACTCAGGGAAACCTGAATGAAACCGGAGAAAATCATGAAACTGTGCTGATTGAATTCACCGCAAATATGTTACATAATCTTAACTGTAGCAAGTGAATCTTTTATGCCTCCCTAATCAATTCACTAGCCCACTCTTCATAGTGCCTTTTCCAAACTTTTTCATCCCTTCTTAAACCTCCTGTTCCCTTCCTTCTCATTCTGGTCTCATATTTCACTGAAATAGTTGAAGTCATTCATCAAGAGCTCCCTGTTCTTCCCTACACATATAATATCGCCAGATACTTTTCTGTCACTATCTCTTCCTTCACCTCTGTCTCACATAAAGAGGCAATTTTTAATCTACTAACTACTCCCCTACCAGATACAAACATACGTGCCTCCTCAATCTTCGCAAAAACTCTCACTAATCCATCCATTCCTGTTAACTATCATCTTATATTTCCCTCTCTGTGGTGGCTAAAATCCCTGTGAAGACTATCTATTATAGATGCTTCCACTTCCTTCTGTGTAACTCTCATCTTAACTCTGCAATCTGACTTGAAGCTTCTTCATTTAATTGAAACAGCTCTTTCCAAAATTAATCAGCCATCTCTTAATCATCAAATCTAATCGACTGTTCTCAGTCCTCATACTTTACAACCTCTCTGTAGCTGTTGACACTCAATCACCATCTTCTCTTTCATATTCTCTTCTCTCTAGGATTTCAGGACTCTGCTGTTTCCTGGTTTCCTCCTGCCTGTCTGAATCTCTTCCTCAGTCCCCACAGGTCATCCCCACTAATCATTGATGTTCCCCCAAGGGTACATCCTTTGCTCTCTTCTCTTCATCCTCAATATTATCTCACTTAGTGAGATTAGCTTCACTGGGTTAAAGTATTATCTCTATGCATATGACTCTCAGATCTATCTATTCATGCCTATGCTCTGTCCTTACCTCCAGTCTCACATCTCCTATTAGACATCTCGAACTGGGTGTTCTGTAGACATCTTAAATTTAATATGTCTATAACTGAACTTATTATTTCTCCCTAAACCTTTCCATCCTTTAAACTTTGCTATTACTGTGGAGGAACACCATCCCCCTAGCCACCTGGTCCTAAGAGTCATCCTCAATTCTTCACACTCTTCTGCCCCGCCATATGCAATCAATTGCCAAGTCCTGTTGATGTTACCTTTGTAACATCTCTCATCCATACCCCCTTCTCCTTTCTGGCACTGCTACCACCCTGTACAGGCTCATTCTGGATGATTAGAAGAGACTTCTAGTTGGTCACTCTGTTTCAAGTCTTGCTTCATTCCAATCCATCCTCCACTCAGCCACTATATTCATCTTCCTAAAGCACAAGTCTGAACTCCCCATTTCCGAACAATAACTTTAGTGGCTCCATATTAGCTCTGGGACCAAATATCAAATCCCCTCATTCAAAGCCCTTCATATCCTGGCCCTCTCCTACCTTTCTAGTCTTATAATACTTTACTTCCCTCTATATACTCTTCAGTTCAGTGACATTAATCTCTGCTGTTTTTTGTACTAGGCACTCTATCTTCTGACTGTGCACTTTCACTGGTTTTCCCCATGTCTATAATTCTCTCCTTCCTCCTCTTGCCTTCCCTGGCTTCATTTGTTGTTGTGGTTCAGTCATTTCAGTCATGTCCAGCTCTTTGTGACCCCATTTGGAGTTTTCTTGGCAAAATGTTTTTGCCATTTCTTTCTCCAGCTCATTTTACATGTGAGAAAACTGAGGCAAACAGGGGTTAAGTGACTTGCCTAGAATCATACAGTTAGTAAGTGTCTGAGGACAGATTTGAACTCAGGAAAATGAGTTTGTCTGATTCCAGGCCCAGCACTCTATCCACAACACCACCTAGCTCCTTCATTTAGGTCCCTATTAAAGTCTTACCTCCCACACAAAAGGCTCTTATTGCTTTAATGTTTTATTTAATTTATTTAATGCTTATTCCTTTAATGCTACTGCTGTCCCTCTATTGATATTTTCCAATTTCTCCTGTATATATCATGTTTGCACAAAGCTGTTTTCATGTTGTCTCTCCCAATCAGGCTTTGAGCTCCTTGAAGGCAGGAACTGCTTTTTAAATTTTTTTAAAATTTTAAAATTTTTTATTTTTTGCTCTTTTTTTTGGGTTGAGGCAATGGGTGTTAAGGGACTTTCCCAGGGTCACACAGCCAGTAAGTGTCAAGTGTTTGGTCTGAGGCCATATTTGAAATCAGGTCATCCTCACTTCAGGGCTGGTGCTCTATCCACTGTGCCCCCCAGGTGCCCCCCAGGGACTGCTTTTTTGCTTTTCTTTGTATCACCAGGGCATAGTGCAATGCCTGTACCATAGCAGTTGCTTAAAAATGGTAATTGACTTATTCACTTGACCCTTGTTCTCCTCAAACCCTCACCTGCACATTCAGAGCAGATAGCTGAGCCACCTACTCCTCTAAGGACTGAATTTCATTTCCCTCGCATCCTATAGTGGTCAAAATTTCTTGACAACATGAGACATTTTTCTTCTTTCACTTCCATTTTAAAAAGAAGGACATCCCTATTCCTCCCTATGGCTGATTACTCTCTCAGTGTCTTTTGTCTGGCACTGCCTTATCTAGCAGGCAGCCTTACTTTGCCTCATACTTCTTCACTCTCTCCATAGCCTACTTTGATCTGTTTCCTTACAGAGTCTCCACTTTATGTTCATGTCTCTTCTCTCTAATTACACTTTGAACTCCCTAAAGGCAGGCACTTTGTATTTTATACATACATACACACATACACATATATACATATATGTACATTACATATACATATGTATGTATATAATTTTATATATGTACATACATATATATATATATATTTACTCAATTGATAGCTCATAGTATAAATTCAACAAATCATTGAATGTGATAAAGATGAAGATGGTGCTATTTTGTATTTTGTGAGTAAATTAAGGGATCTTTGGGAATACTGCCCTGAAACAGCAAAACCTATTGCCCAAATGATATTTTAGGATTATCATTAATCTAGCCATTTCCCAATGTCTTGTCTCTGCAGAAAGGAAGGTCATTGACTGCCCAACCTCTGGTAACTGCACAGGTATCTCAATTCCTCCCTTTCTATACCTGGGGCTCTCAGAGGTTCCTCACTTCGAAGTTGGGAGTGTAACAGGGGATTCTGCTTCCTTTATAGACACAGAGAAACTCCGACTCAGGCAAGGACAGACCCCATGCTCTGGACGAGTGGAGATCTGGCACAATGGCTCTTGGGGGACAGTATGTGATGACTTATGGGACCTAGCAGATGCCAATGTGGTTTGTCAGCAGTTGGGCTGTGGCTCTGCTGTGGCTCCCCTGGGAGGGGCTGCATTTGGCCCAGGAATTGGGACCATTTGGCTGGATGATGTACAGTGCAGAGGGAAGGAGTCCTCTCTGTGGGATTGCCCTGCAAGGCCTTGGGGGCAGAATGACTGTAAGCATGAGGAGGATGCTGCTGTGATATGCTCAGGTGAGTGTGAAGGACATAAAATGGGGCTGGGAGTTCTGAGAACAGATATTGAGCTGGAGGACCTGAGGCTATATTGTGCACATAAATGGAGCTCCCACAGGTCTGTCCTCTGGTACCCGGGGAGGCTGTAATTTGATTCTGGAGTCAGAAAATTTAAATCAGAAAGTAAAATTAATGGTCATCATTCTAATCTCTTTGCTTTACAGAGGACAAAATAGATGTCCAGCGGGGTTATGTGACTGCCCTATGGTTACACAGACTAGCAAGTAAAATTTGCTGGTAAAGTTTTGAACATAGGTCCTGTGATTCCCCAACTTACAATACCTGTTCTGTCTTCTAGCACTCTTCTCAAAGTTGTGTTGGGGGGAGGGTATGTAGAGGATTTGAGAACTTTCTTGAGCTGTTTGAATAGCATTTTTGGGCAGATATTCAAATGACAGAAGACTCAGGCAGAATTCAGAGCCAATATGCCCAGCTTGGTCTCTAATGATACCTCCAATTGCTGTTTTCTTTTTCCAGAGAAAAGCATAAGATAATGTTGTGGTTCACTCATTCAGTCATGTCTGACTCTTCATGAGTCCATGAACTATGTGACTTGCCTAGAGTCACACAGCTAGTGTCTGAACCTCTGTTTGAACTCAGATCTTCCTTATCTTCTAGGCCCAGTGCTCTCTATCCATTGTACCACCTACAGCCACCCTCTATTCTAGCTCTCATCAGAGTAGCTCAATACCAATCAATCCACAAGAATTTACTAATAAATGCTTGCTATGTGTTAGACACTCTACTAAGGCCTGGCAATGGAAAGAAAGAAAGATAAAAACATTCCGTGCTTTCAAGCAGCTTTGCAATATGATAGAGGAAACAACAAGTAAATAACCAAATACACAGATGACATGCAGAGTAGAATGAAGATAACTAGAAAGGAAAGCTTAAGCATTGGACATGTCTCGAGCAAACTTCCTTTAGAAGGAAGTATTTGAGTTGAGTCTTGAAGGAAGCGAAGTATGTCAAGAGATGGAGGTAAGAAGGTTGTGCATTTCATTTAAGGAGTACCAGAAAGCCAATATTCAAGTACAAAGATGGAGTATCATTTGTGAAGAAGATGGAATGGGCCTATATAGCTGAGTAGTAGAGTGTGTGAAGAGGAGGAGTGTATAAGAATTATGGAAAGGTACAATGAGAGCAAGTTGTGAAGAATTGTGAAGAGCAGAGAAATTCTATTGGATCCTGGAAGTAACAGGGAACTACGGGAGCTTATTGAACATGGGCATGATGTGGGCAACTAGGTGGCACAGGCCTGGAGTCAGGAAGACTCATCTTCCTGAAGTTCATATCTAGCCTCAGACACTTACTAGCTGTGTGACCCTGGGCAAGTCACTTAAGTCTGTTTGCCTCAGTTCTTCAACTGTAACACGAGCTAGAGAAGGAAATGGCAAATGACTCCAGCATCTCTGCCAAGAAAATTCCAAATGGGTCACAGAGAGTCAGACATGATTGAAAAATGATTTAACAAGAAGAAAAATCATGTGGCCAAAAGTACACTCTAGAGCAGGGATGGGGAACCTGAAGCCTAGAAGCCACATGTGGCCTTCTAGGTCCTTGGGTGCAGCCTTCTGACTGAGTCCAAGTTTGTAGAACAAATCCTTTTGCTTAGGGGATTAGATCTGTGAAGTTTAGATTCAATCAAAGGGCCACACTTGAGGACTTAGAGGGTCACATGTAGCCTTGAGGCAGCAGGTTCCCACTGCTGCTCTAAAATGATCACTTTGACAGCTGATTAAAGGATAGATTGACATGGGGAGGACCAATCAGAAGTCTTTGTAATAGGCCTAGAGATGATGGAGACCTGAACTAGAATGGTGGCTGTATTAGTGGAGAGAAGGGAATATGTGGAGATGGAAATGACAAGATTTTTCAACTACTTGGATCTGTGGGGAAAGTGAGAGTGAGGGTTTAAGGATAGCACTAAGATTGTGAGTCTGAGTGAGTGGGAGAGTGGTAGTGTCTTCTACAGTAATAGGGAAGTTTGGAAGGGGGAAGGTGTGTAAGGAGGAGAAATAACAGGAGATAATGAGTGTTATTTTGGGCACATTAAGTTTGAGATGTCTATGGGACAGGAGGAAGGTTACGTGAGAAATCCACTCCCTATGGGAATTTTTCATGACTTGGAGAATTAACTCCGTTAGGTCAGAGAATCTGCTGAGAAACTTGTGAGCGAGAGGTTGAGGTAGGGGTGGGGAGACCTACAGAACTTTCTTAGAGAATATGTGGCCCTTCCAGAAATTTCTAATTTTAGCATCTGGATTTGGGATCTGACTTCAGCACAGGTCCTCTGACTCCAATCCATGTGGACTCTACGTCTCTTCTTGAGCTTGAGCTGGATGAAAGAGAACTAGATCTAGGAGCCTTCCTAAGCTGTTTGGATGGGGCATTATGGGAGGATGTTCACATAATAGGGAGTTTAGAGCAGAATGCAGAAGCCATGCCCAAACTGTTCTCTACCCGCTTCAGATTTTTTTCTCCTATTTTCTTTCAGTTGAGAAGACAACGTTACCATCTACTACAAAAGGTACAATGCTATGCCACTCCCTTACTGCCCTTCTACAAACTCTGGGTTCATTTGACAGCAGAAACCCTCCCAAGCCTAAAGTTGACCTTGTGGGATTCTTTCATCTCTAAGGAAATCTACTGTACCAGAATTCTGAGGAGCTGTGGTGAAGCTTGTGGGTTGAGGTGGGATTTGGGGGGGTCCATAGAATGTTCTTCAAGAATATGTCACCCTTTTGCCAGTTTCCAGTTTGGAGATGTGGAATTCAGTCCCTACAAGGAAGGATATTCCCTTCACTGTCCTTTCTTGGGCATCCAGGCCCAACCCAGTCCCCTCGACAGTGCAGTTGGGAGGGTTCCCCAGTTTGGGGGTCTTCAGGTTGAGGGTGAGTCTCAGATTTCCCTCCTCTCTCCATACTAATCTCACTGAGCTGTCCTTGGGATTTTGACAACTTCTTTCATTATCCAGAGCCTTATAATTCTTCTTTTCCAAAGGATTAATCACTAAGACAGTTTCTGCCTCTTTGAACTCTGGCACATTCTCTCTGCTTGGGATCCTCTGCCTCATTTTAGGGGCCCTTCTCTTCCTGGTCCTCATCCTCCTAGGGATTCAGATGCACAGAGGGAGAATCCAGCAAAAAGGTGAGCAACCATGGCTCACTGAACAACATGGGAAAGAGTATGGATGAATAAAGGGAGGAAATGAGAGGGACAGGGATTTTAGACAAGGCCAAATAAAGTACTTCAGGACTGGATATTACACACATGTTTTGCTCTGGTTTTCAAGCCCCAAATAGCTGTGTCATTGGCCTAGGAGAGTCTAAGCTGTGAGCACAGAGCTTATGTTCGGTAAGAGATTCCAACCAAGGTCACACCTTATGGGGCTAGGCAGGACAGGCATCCATATTAGAACTAGGGAGTTGCCTGAGTGTGAACAGAAAGTAGATTGAGAAGGGTCCCTGAGACAAATATATGTCAGGTGATGGTCTCAGGCCCAGAGTTTCTGATCCATGGCCATTTGTACCAGCTTTGTCCAGATATAGGGATTCTCTTTCTGAAGCCATGTATGAAGAGATTGATTACTACCTGACAGGGGACAAGGAGGACCTTCTGAGCAGCCCAGGTAAGCGTATCTTCTGCCCAAGGTGAGCATGTTCCTCCTTTGTACACTCTGGACATGAATTATATACTTTGGTCTATGTCAGAATCTATGGCCTTGGCCTCTTCAGACATCTCTGCCTCTACCTGCCTGCTGTAGTTCCCCACTTCCCCCAACATTTTAGGCTTGAGTATCCCAAAAAGATAGTAATATGAAACCAAGGATGAAACCCCCTTCCGTACCCTTAGGACTTTTCCACCCAGATGCATTGTACTGATCTTTATGAGCAGAGCCAGCTCTCTCCTGGACAGCCCTGACACCCTCACTCACCAACAAACTTTCACTTTTTCCCCTACTCTGAATGAAGAACAACATCCTTCTGTTAGGACAACATCACTCATGACATGCTGCAATACTTCGAACATAACTTGTTTTACATTACTAATGTCTTGTCAATCAAGCTCTTCATCGGCCAAACAGACTTCCAGGAAGGTGGCGTAAGAGTTTCTGTCATGTTTGGAAGGTCCCTTAGTCTCACCAGAGCACTTTGATTAATTATCTCAGAGAGTGACTTTTTAATCTTCATCACCAAAGCCTGGCAGTGCCCCCTCTTCTAGGTCAGCCTCCCTGGTGTCAGAACACATTATCACGTTGTTCTGAATTCTGTGGATAGACCCAACCGGGGGAATGAGGGGAATAAGTTTCCTTTTCCTATTTGACTCTGTCATGTTCTTCTCATCAGGCTTTCTTCTGGGCAATGTGAGAGACAAGCTTCCATACTATACAGGGAAAAAGGAAAGGAAAAGCCAACCTGCACTTTCCTCAAGTAACAGGAAAGGGCATGCCTAAAGGCAGGAACTGATGGTTTGCAAGGAGTTTTCTGCTCTGCAGGGCATTAGCTACAATACAATTCTGCTGTCCTCAGCTCCTCCTCATCCCAGACATCCCATACCTCCCTAGGGCAGGCTTTTAAGAGCTCTCTCAATGGGAAGTGGGTACTCACTGTTTGACTCCAAACATGTGCTTGGGAGATAGAGGTTTGGACTGAGGCAAGGGACATGATTCAGGGCAAGGGAGTAAGAGATCCAGGTTTGGTTTAGGGGCATAGGGCTTGAGTTTAGGGTCAGAATAATGATCAAAGAGGCATCAGAATCTGGAGGATAATTCAGGGAATCAGCTTACTCTCTCTTGTGTATTCTGTCTCAGGGTCACTATCACCAGAGCAACATGAATGAATCATGACAGGGCTGAAAGTTCTGGTCCAAGTGATTTCCTCCTTGAAGCTGGGGTCAGTAATAAACAGTGAGGTAATAGAAACTGAGAGAGGAGGATTTTGAAGCTAAAAGAGATGAAGGGAAAATAACAGTAGGGGGACTGAAATATTGTCCTATATGAGGGAGCTTTAGTCCCCTTTCCCACCTTGGTGATTCTTGGTGCAAGGTCAGGCCCTTAACCCTAAATAGTCTTATTTTTCAGCTGAATTCAGCTTTGAACACCTCCTGACTTTACTTTCTCTCTTAAAAAATGCATATTTGTTTTCACATGCACAAGAACATCCCCTCACTTACAGTAAAATGTTGTTGAAAACAAAGCTATCATCCCTCCCTCAGATATCTCAAGTCAGCCTGATGATACCCCAGGTGACAGGTATGATGATGCTGAAGAATTATCTGGGCCTGAAATTCCCACTTTCACCCAGATGAATGAGGAGATTACTCTGGCGTGTATGAATAACTGGGATGAGCACAGGGCATCACACACAGGTGAGTGGTTCCCATCAGACTTACTGACCTGACCAGTGAGATTTTCAGCTATGGGTGAACTTATTTTGGAAGATGAGAAGTTGGCAGTACCTACACATACACATGTGTATAAACACAAATGTGTCTATATATAGATATATTTGTCTATTAAAATGTATGCATACATGTATGTGCACATACTCATATGTGCTTACATGCATTCAAAATATATGTCTCTCTATGTGTGCATATAAATATATATGTACATATATGACAAAAAGATTTTGTCAGTACATTGACAATTCTCTGTGTTGACATTTTTTATGAATATAACTGGGACAATTTTACCCATAGTGATGTGACTAAGCCACTAAATGAGCAGGCCCTGGGGTTCTAAAGCTGCCTCCTCCATTCTCCCATTCCCTTTGACTCCAACCCACCCTCAATGTCAAGAGAAGCCCTTCCATAGCCCTCTCTCAGTCCTGGCCATTCCTGTTCCCTTTCCTGTCCATGGTGCATCTGGAATAAGAAAAGACTATACCCCAAGTCTTGAAGGTGGCCTTCTTTTCACCCATCTGTACCAACACCAAAGGCTCCTTGCTTTTCTTTAGACACAGCTACAAATTCAGCTCTACTTTACTTGTTCTAGGTCAGTCTCCTAAGTTCTTTGGGGGATCCTCTGAGTCCAGGCTGGGAGAAGATAACCCACCAATGTCTTCTGAGGACCTGGGATATGATGAAGCTGAGATTGGTGTCCCTCAGATGTCACTTTAAGACCATCAGCTACAAGCAGTCTCTTAATAAATGCTTATTGAATTGGTGTGGAGTGGAATCAGTTTCCTGTGATACTTGAAGTAGTTTTAGAATTTGCCTGCCCTCCAACACTCTATCCTGAGAGGACAATATTGAGGGTTTCCTCTCCACCCCTTCTTATGTGGTGAACACCTCTCCACTACCCTGAACTCTCCCAGCAGGGTGTGATTTTAGCCTCTATTACAAATGCTTCTCCTTCAAGACATTTACTTCTAAAATTTCCCTCTTTTATCTTTCTTCTTTTCCTATGTGCTCACCCCTAAACCTGCCTTTACCTACATCTTATTCTCTAATCTCCTAATCTCTACCTTTTCTTTCAGTCCTCTACCCACAATATGACTTCATTTGTCTTCCTACCCTTCACTAATAAACTGATCAGCCTTCTCAACTGTTCAGAAAACTTCTGTGCAAGCAAAGATGCTTTATGAAGAGTCCAGGCATGTTTTCTGGGCTATAGAGAACACACCTCTTCAAAGGAGCACCTTCTCTGTTGAATTACCAGACAATAAAAGTTAGTGTTCTCCCATACTCCTCCACACATGGAGATCTCATATTCACTCTCAGTTGAACAGGAGACTTTGAATCTAACATCCTAGTTCTTTTCAATCCCTTCTTCTATCTTCCATAAGAGCCTCCCTTGATTCAGGGATCAATCTATGGCCCTATATGCATCATAGTCTGGGTTTTTGCTTTGGCATTACTCCCCTGACCTAGTTGATGAAAGAAAGTATTATTAGTTAGCAACTATGAGGGAGATCCAGGCTTTTTCCTTGTCCTATTTGCTTGTTTGAAGCCCAGTCTTTGAAGGACATTACTGACCTCTGCCCAAAATTTACCCCACCTAGATCATCTTACCTAGATGAATTTCTGCTCGTTGTGTTCTACCCAGGTTTGGATGGGGATAAATTCTTTCATTAAATTGCACAAGACTAGAGCTAATTTGGAAATAAATTACATGATTAAAGTCATATCTGCCAGCCCCTTATTAGAATAGGTCCACCTTCCATAATAATATTCATTCTCTTTCATTACTTGTTAATGAATCAGAGTCAATTGCCACCCTCAGGAACACCCACTCTTACAATGGCATATAAGTGTTGAGTGGGTTCCATAAAGGTCTTGGACATTAGAGAGTATCACTGATCTCTTTTATTGATATTATGCTAGCCTTATTAATAAAATGATTAATTACCCAGAAGCCATGTCTCTTGAATTTTTTAAATGTCACACTGGTTATAACCTAAATTAAAAATATTTCTATGAAGTTAATTCATCCCACAGCTCCTTCTCTTCCCTGCCCCTTCCAATCCCTGTCCTACTCCTCCCCCAATTTTCACATTGTATTTTATTCATTGCTTTGTAAGATATGGTCTGTTCATATATATTATTCTTTCAATGAACACATCTAAATCACCTATTATATACTCATAGATGCAATTCCTTCTCTGTCAATGATACAGAAGAATGCACATTATAATGTATGGTAAGTTATTAGAACCTCTCACCTCTAGCCAGCCATACAGGACTTATGAGGTGCTTTATTCTGGTGTGAGGTATCACGGTGTATGCATTATGTAAGTCTAGTAGTTGTTGAGGATAGATATTAGTGTGTTGGTGAAGAGAGGCCTTGTTAACCCTTCTATCAGGCCCCCACCCTCACAATGAGCCACACTTCTGTTTTCCCAGCTTCTTCTTCTTCCCTACCCCACCTCCTCACTCCTAGCTTTGGCTTTCTCTCTAGTCATTCCTTCACCCTGCCCCTGAGGGAAGCTTTTCTTTCAAACACATCAGGGAGATGACAATGGGAAGGAAAAAGGCCTGAGGTGGCATCTCACTGTTCTTTTTCAGTCATTTCTGTCATGTCTAACTCTTTATGACCCAATTTGTTTTTTTGTTTTGTTTTGTTTTGGGGGGGGCAAAGATACTGGAAGGGTTTACCACAGAAGAGGAAACAGAGGCAAACAAGGTTAAGTGACCTGTCCAGGGTCACACAGTTAGTAAGTGTCTGAGGCCTTATTTGAACTCAGGTCTTCCTGCCTCCAGGAAGTTTCAGTAGTTTCAGTCATTTCCAACTCTTTGTGCCTCTATTTGGAGTTTTCTTGGCAAAGATACTGGAGTGATTTTCCACTCTATCCACTGTGCCATCTAGCTGCCCCAGTGGCATCTCACATGCCATCTCTAATTCATCCTAGCCCTTATCAAGCTGCTAATTTAGTTTATTTAAGATTGAATCTAATTCTACATTTTTCTCTCCCCCTTCCCCCTTTTAAAATGTGAATCGATAAATACCTTGTCTAGAACTCTGATCACCATGCACAAAAGCCATCCTGGTGAATATATATTGTAGCATAAAATCTTTGATTTCCCTCCTTTGCATTTTACTGCTGCTTCTTTTCCCCCACTCTTTCCAGTAACGAAACACAGCGATTAGCAGTGTGCTGGTTGACACTTTTTCATAGAAAAGCAACAACAGAAAACTTTCAGAAATAGGGCACAAATGTGAAGAAGCACATACATAGTGAACATGTGTGTCCAGGAAATGCTCATAGAGGGGCACACAGATGAGGAACGTGTGTGGCCAAAGCACAATGTGGAGGGGTAACTGATTGATCCAACATTTCAGAGTCAATGATGTCTTCCTGTGATGTCATTGCACTGCTCCATGCTGGTTCTGTAGTCTCCCTGCTGGATGTGGCTCTTTGGACACAAGATCTGTACCAGTCAATGCTCAAATGTAGATCTCATTGGAACTCGTTCTGCCAGCTGTCAGAGGATGTTCTGCCAAACATGGCTCCAGTAGACACTGGTTCAAATCCGCAGTTATATTTCTTTAGAGAGAGCAGGGAATTGCTGAAAGGCCTCTTATTTCCCCTTTAACAGATTCTCAGCCACAGGTACTAATCTCATTAGAATAAAGATCAGTGTTCTCCTGGCTATCTAATGCCCCAAAACTCTTTTCTTTGGACTCCTGTTCGTGATTCAGGAGCTTGTTTCCCTGAATTCACCCTATCTTATGGTAGACATGTCATACACCTCCTAATATCCAATGACTTAAAGGCTATACCACAAACTAGGGAAAGATTATCTGCCCAATATCTGAGGCAGTTAGGTAGTGCAGTGGATAGAGTGCTGGGCCTGAAGTCAGGAAGCCTCATCTTTCTGAGTTCAAATACGACCTCAGACACTTACTTGCTATGTAACTCTGGGCAAGTCATTTGACCTTGTTTGCCTCTGTTTCCTCATCTGTAAAATAAGCTAGAGAAAGAAATGGGAAATGGCTCTAGTGTCTCTGCCAAGAAAACCCCAAATGGGGTCAAGAGGAGTCATACACAACTGAAAACAAGTCAACAACAAAAGTCTTCTCTTCCCACATGGTTGAGTATTCCAGTTCCTAGGTTGTTAAATGAACAGCTGCTAATAAAGCCTCACAAGTTCTTGCCATCTCATTACAAATGTACTGTTAAAAAAGGTCACTTGAGATCAATTGTCAACATTCACATTGCCTATGGATTTGAGAAAGTAATAACTACAGGAGAAGAAGGAGAATGGCTAGATTCCTAGGGAATGGGGGATAGTTTAGCTTGCCTACTTTACTTCTTGTTTCATGGACTTTAGCCAGAGGAGGACTGGAGAAAAGAGACAGCAAGGCCACTAGGTTTCCTCCAAGCAGCTGAACTGGAGTACCTGGGTGCTCTAATTGTAAATTCCAGGACTATTTTTTTCAGGTAGGTGAAAATGGAGAGATTTCAGAAAGGGGAAGTAAGGTGATCTTGGAAGGGAGTGGAGAAAGTAGGTATGAAGACAATGCTGAGAAAAACAAAAGAAGCCCTTGGAAAATTTTGAGAAATGTGGTGAGACCAGAAACTGAAGGCAAAAGGGATCAGCCATTGTGGTGTTGACCAGAATCAGAGAGACTCGTGCTTCCAAGAAATCTAGAGTAGGTTAGGTCAGCTGGAGGCTTGCCAAGCAGTCTTTCTCTTCTGGTTGCCTTGGAGTACTTGGTTTAGGCAAACCTCCAAAGCCTGCAGAACCTTTCCTTTCTTCATCTGCCCTTTGAAAAAAGGAATAATGAATAGGGAGCCCAAATGTGATGAGGCTGAAAGAACAAAGATGAAAGGAGTTTTCTTTTCCTTTTTTCTCTTTTTGGTAAATGAAGGCCTCTTCCAGATCCTATTTCTGTTTATAGAGATTGGGAGTCTCTGGAGAGAGCTGAAGATGGTGGATTGCTGGGCTCAGTAGGGGTGGTGGTGTGGTAGCGGAAGTTGGTTTCATGAATGTAATAGGAGTGCTATCTGGTGGATAAGTACATATATCTCTTAACTTCATAACTGCATGCCTGCCTACTGTTCTGTGTAAAAGACAGAAAGAAGAGTATTTGGATAATGAACCAGGTACAAGTAGGTATAGCTCTGGCAGCACCACTTTGGGCTGTGTTTTAGAAGGAAGCATGAGTCTTGATTGGTTCAGAGACCATGAGTCCTCTATGTTGCAGACCTGTATAAATGGGCACAATTTGTTGGACATTATGAGAGAGCCTTGAGGGTCCTCTCTTAGGATTGTGAGAGAAGGGTTGAGAAAAATGGTATGGACATTGAAAGGTGAACTGGAACCCTCTTAGAGAGGTAGGCATGTGAGGATGAGTCAGAACCTCCTTATGTCCTTTGATTCACAACATGCACCCCCAAGAGACTGTTGAGAGTACACTTTCCCTTCCAGGGGTAAAATAGTTCAGTCTCTCTTCGATTAAGCTGGAATCTTATCTATCTCTCAGTTGAAATTCTCATTTACTCTTGTGTATTCTTTGGCACATTTTAATCTATATAACATTTCTAACTTCTATTATTCACAGGTTTAGATAAAGTGTTTATTCAGTATTCTCTAATCATGGCTGTGTTTTGATTAATCAGCATTTGATGGTATAGCGATAAACTAACAATATTAAATTGAACTCACCATTTTACTCCTTTTGAGAAAAATAAGGTGTGACATCTTTTTAGCCAGACTCTCAAAGCACTGTAAACCTAGACTGGAAATATCGAGGCATGGTGGGTGAACAAAATTCTAGCCCAATACTGTTGCCTGGAACCAGATAGTACACCGCATGGAAAGGCACAAAATAAAATATTAAGACATGGGCCAGGCAGAGCAGTAGGAACTGACTCAGTTTATTCATCTGAGGGTCCAGGATATATAGAGAAAATCCATCCTAACTTCAAAGAGTCCTCCCCATGAGACACTCCCTGAAATGTCTGCTAAGGATGTGATAACATATATTTCCTCCTTATCAGAGTTCCTAGATAGGGTTGTAAATTCCAAGGCTTTTTTCTGGCACCTGTATAGAGGAGTGAATATGTAAATCTAAGGTTCAAAGAGTGGGAAGGAATATCTCAGGAGCCTCCTAGCAGGGAGAGATTTGGAGAGCCCTGCCTCTTAATTATTGAGACCTTTGGGTTAGAGCCTGGGCAAAGGTCAAACTCTGTCCTGGATTTTAAAACCCATATCTGACTCTTAAGGTCAGCCCTCAACACAACACCTTTCTGGGAGATAGGTAAGGAAAGGAAGAAGTATCTTCTAACCATTTCCTTTGTTGTTGTTTGTTCTTATTTCTCAAAGAGGACCATGACATCAGGAAGATGATGCCATGACTTGCAAGAGAATTGGATTTAAGTGAGGGAAGGCTGTGCAAAGTCACTTTTTCTCTGGAGTCATTTGGGTCCAATGATAAAATTTATGAGTGGAGATGGGCACCCACCCACCATTTCTATGCTCTTCTCAAAGGTAGACATAGCTGGCTGTCTTGGAGAGGGGTGGGCCAAGTTGTATTTCACATATCCATAAATTCTTTCTTTCTTAATCTCCTCCAATGAGAAGAGTCTTATACAAATGGACTTTGAGCCATGGGTTATAATGGATAGCAGTCATATATCTCTTACACTGAGAAAGCTGAAGCCAGAAGCAGCTAACTCTGAAATACAGAATGACTTATATGAATCTTCTAAGAGGGAAGAAGAATGGACAAAATTAACCTTGTCAATCAAAAGATATGCAGACATACAGTAAGATGACTTTAAAGGTCTTATCTAAATGCAGGTTCCTCTATGAGAACTTTGAAAATAATATGAAGGGCACCAATAAAGCAAAAGATCAAAAATTTTAAAAGGAAAATGAAATAAAACTCTTTCAATTCTCA